TTGAAACATAAACGCTTCAAGAGGGTTATCAACCAGTATGCTATGAATATAATTAATATTTACATCTTTACAAAATCGTTAACAGACTTTCCGACGTCTTGCTGCACGGAATGTGGCGCGGCTAAAATCACTAAAATATAATTCTATTTCTCATGCTTCTTTCCACACCAAAGGTTCAAGATCCCATTAGCAACGCCATATTATCGTGGAAGTTCTACTTACTAATCTGAGTTTAATCAAAAGTTTCACCTACAACGCCCGACAGGAGAAAACGAATTGAAGTAGGCGAATGCTTATCAGTGAGTGCCATGGCGTGCAAGGTTCAACTTGATGACCGATTCCACTATGACAGATGTACGGTAGAATTAAAGTGCTAGGGCAGATGTACGGTACGGTAGANTAGAATTAAAGTGCTATGGTAGATGTACAGTAGAATTAAAGTGCTATAGCAGATGTACAGTAGAATTAAAGTAATATGGCACATGTGCAGTAGAATTAAAGTGCTATGGCAGATGTACATTAGAATTAAAGTCCAATGGTAGATGTACAGTAGAATTAAAGTGCTATTGAGGCACAGTGTAACTGAGGTATTGCAGGACTTTATTGATTCATCAAATAACTATTAGTCTATTACTAACTTTGAAATTTGTTAAATACAATTAACATTTTCATTAGATGTCACTTTCAATTGAATTACTGTTTACGATTGGATGACATAAAATAGGAAATGTTAACGATGGCACATCTTGAAAATCATTATCATATAAAGATCATACTATATTCATTTGATGAATATATTCTTTTCATATCTATAAAGATATGAAAAGCATAATATCATACTATAGTAATATGAATCTCTGTTGGCAGCGAAATTCAGTGATCAGAGCTTCTCGATCTTTTCCAAAATCGATGTTTAATAAAGTGCTACATTTTCATCATTTTTGAAGAGTTTAAATAGTTGTTTCCTTTTGTAACAAATTGTAACATGTAACCAATTTGTATTAAATATTAGTCATGCCAAATATTATCATAACAACGTGCACATAAAAGCCCATGCAACGAAGGTTCACAATTTTCTAGAACAAATACCACGGCTAAAGTATAATGGCGTTTAAGACAAGTGCCTTAAGTGAATATTCAGCGAGGCGGCAAGTACACAGCCTACACATGTTTCGACCAAGTCGGCGTACTTGTCAAGCATTAACATGTGCCTGTATTTCAGGGAGGCGTGCAGCATGTCAAGCATGAACATGTGCCTCTATTTCAATGAGGCGTACAACATTTCAAGCTTAAACATGCGCCTATATTTCAGTGAGGTGTACTTGTCAAGCATGAACATGTGCCCTTATTTCAGTGAGGCCTACAACATGCCAAGCATGAACATTTGCCTTTATTTCAGTGAGGCGTACAACATGTTAAGCATGAACATGAGCCCTTATTTTAGTGAGGTATACAACATGTCAAGCATGAACATGTGCCTGTATTTCAGTGAGGCGTACAACATGTCAAGCATGAACATGTGCTCACCTGCCACAATAATGTTGGCACTCTACAAAGGTTTTTGAGGCACGCAGTCTCCGACAACGCGCTGCGTGCAGGGCGCGGAATTTGCGTAAGCTGCCGGCAATATTTCCCTCGAGGCCGCGGCGCTGAATATGTCACAAGGCAGTCCAGAATGAGTGAATTGAAGCGAGCTTTGCACGTCGTATACCTCATTTCTCAGTCACAAGTAAAAATCAAGCCATAATATTACCGAGTTTATTTACGTTATATAACGTGAGTCAATTGTTAAATTCATCTTCATCTATCACACGTATCGTATATCAATTCATCTCATCTGCCACAAATATCGTGAGACAGTCTGAAAGTAATAGGTTGTTTAGGCGTCTTTATTGAGGGGATTTTCCTGATTTTTTCTATTGGAATTCAGGATATGAGACTACAAGGTACGTTCGTCTTCACCATGGCTTGATTTTAGGGACCTGAACCGATGAATCAGCTTCAATGATGTTATTAAATTCTCCTTTCATTCACTTTCTATTAACATCTACGTTACAGTTCGGAATTTCTGTGAAAAAGTCATGGTGTGAACGATTTCCACGATCAATGAGCGATGATACGATGTTCTGAGACACAGTTTTGCCATTAATAAAAGAAAATTCTGAATTAGAACATAGATTAAATTTCAGTCGCAGAATGACGAATAAATTCCGGAAATGCAAGAATTTCCCAACCTGGGTAGCCACTTGCAATTTTTACGCACATGGCTGGTACAGATAAAACCGGTCATACCGCAAAACGCGTACACGTATGTAGCATTATTCCCGAGACGAACAATGGCATTAGACGAGACGATTAATACACATAGTCGAGCACACAATAGACATTTATAGAACAATACCTTAAGAGCTCCATCAATCGCCGTTTGCTTGCCAGTGCACGACCTACAATACGAAGTTCGGCGCTCGCTGACGATCTCGGCACGGCATTTCGAAGAAGATTTCCATTGTCTTCGTCTCGCCGAAATTAGTTGCCGCTACAGTCCATCAGGAGCGAGGGAGCATCAAAGGCTCGGTGCTTTCATTCAATTCGCAGTGACGAGAGTTGCAGTGACGGTACAAAAACGCAGTGCAGTGAAAAATATTATACGAATAATATTGTTTTCTAGGCGTAACATTCACTGATCAAACTGTGGACTAAGTTGCGTCTACTATTGGATAACGTCGCGACAAATAATGACCATGCAAGGAATATTGGACGATGCAATCAAGAAATATTTTTACGACGCGACAAATATTGGACCATGCAAGGAATATTGGACGACGCTAGATGTATTGGATACTCCAAGGAATATTGAACGACGCCACATGTATATTGTACGCAGCAAGGAATATTCGACCACGTTGCGACAAGCTAGTCTAGTGACGGCAGTAAATGAGGACGTCAGAGCGGGGTATATATTGCTACTCTGACAGCCCCGTACCTCCGAACCACCGCAACAAAACGTCGAGGGATGAAAATAAGTAACAATAAGCCAGTATAACGGGATTATAACCACAAATTTAGTCAAAATTGAGGACAAAGTCAATAAAATAGGATCTTGCAAAATGCAGGAAGTAGACCCTGCAAATAAATTATGCGTTTCAGCCATTTAAGTTTGTATCAACAAACACAGGTTGAATCAAACGGGAAGAAACATGAATATTTTGGTGGGATGCAAAGCAGTGAAAAGTTCTTGGTGTTGCATATGCGATGCAGCGCGCGAGAGCAAGCGCGATAGAAGTACAATGAGCGATAAATTCTTTGGATTGTAATTTAAAATTCCTGTTTTCGACTGCAGCTGTAGCAGGGAGTTGTATTAAAATACGAGTATAGGGTAAACAAACATTACCCTGAAAAGTTATGGAATTACCTGGATGCTTTAAAATTTTTTTAGCGGGGGCTCCAAACCAGCCAGCCAGTATCTGGACTTCTTAGACAGTATTCCTTTTGTGTTTCTGGACAGTTCATGCTCAATAACATAATATGGTAATGAACAATATTGTGCAGTATTAAACTTTTGTAGTTCTTCTCGGCCCTATACACAAACCGTATGCTCTGTAAACTCCGTGCAATCGCTTTCCCATAGTCAGAGGTTCCTAGATTGGGAGCCGATAATGCACAGATGTGGACTTGCTATGAGCACTCTATATGAGCACTCTATATGAGCACCCTACAGGAGCACCCTCCAGGAGCACCCTACAGGAGCACCCTACAGGAGCACTCTATATGAGCACCCTACAGGAGCACCCTACAGGAGCACCCTACAGGAGCACCCTACAGGAGCACCCTACAGGAGCACTCTATATGAGCACCCTACAGGAGCACCCTACAGGAGCACCCTACAGGAGCACCCTACAGGAGCACCCTACAGGAGCACCCTACAGGAGCACCCTACAGGAGCACCCTACAGGAGCACCCTATAGGAGCACNCACTCTACATGAGCACTCTACATGAGCACTCTACATGAGCACTCTACATGAGCACTCTATATGAGCACTCTATACGAGCACTCTACATGAGCACTCTATATGAGCACTCTATACGAGCACTCTACATGAGCACTCTACACGAGCACTCTACATGAGCACTCTACATGAGCGAGGAACACCAGCTCATACTCTTGGCTCTCCATTCAAGCACTCCATAGAAACACTCCATAATAGAACATGTAAGCAAGGAACATAATTACCGCTCACGCCCTTCAGTAGGGCAAGCTAAATCACAATGCTGCTGCTTGCTTCCTGCTGATGAGAGAGATGGAAGGGTGGTGAGGCAGAGATGGAAGGGTGGTGAGGCAGAGATGGAAGGGTGGTGAGGCAGAGACGGATGGTTTGTGATTGCGCCCATGAACGATTCTAGTTGCATTTTGAAAGTCATTAAGTTGAAATATCCTGCATCCAATGCCTTCATCGGTATTAACAGCCACGACCCCGCCACGCAACGAGATAATTATCGTGCAATTGTACACTTTTTACTATTATATTCTCATTTTAAAAGCAGCTATTAATGTTATCATTTACCAATTGTTCATTTGACGTTACTATTCTGTCTCTTCTGTTATGAGTGCAGACCAAGTGGCTCCAGCCTCCCTCGTTAGTTTAGACGTGAAGAATCGTAGACGTGAAGATTCATGGACTGCTTTCACTACTGAAGCCGTACTCACGGAGCAGCAGCAGCTGCTCAAAGCTGGCAGCAGTACTCACGGAGAGGGATCACCAGGGCTCTGGAGCGTATAACCATCGGTTCTGACCCTCCTGTTCTGAACGAACGCAAGCTCAACCCTATCTGCCACCTACCTTTCACGATGATATCCGATGAATTATGACTTTATCATTACTCTGAGCTCACGTACAGGTCCAGGATATTGTCACACCCGTCAAGAAACACTGTACCCATGTCCCTGCCCGCGAACAATGCACTCAAAAAACGTGTAATTAAACACTGCACCCAAACAAACCTGCTTTTTGTTCTCGTAGTCCAGAGGGGAGACCAGCAGCAGCTCGCCGGTCTTGGAGTCCACGGAGAAATGCCCGTTAGGTTTCGGGGGTCCAGCAATACTGTACACAACGTCCGCGTCTGGAACCCACAGAAATACGAAATATATTACAGCCGCAGCCGGAATGACCTAAAGATTCGAGCAGCACATACCCTTATAACGCCCTGAAGCGATTAATTTGTCATAAGAAAATTCACAGATCGTCACAGAAAAATCAATCGTTCGTTCAATCTAAAACGCGTGGTGTTGACGTGAAATTAATTTTTGGTCGTAAATAGATAAGGAGTTTAATAATCATCACAAACCTAGCTTCTCGTACAAACAATTCTCTTAATCATAGATCAAATCATTCATCTCACATCAATGAACAGGATGCGAGATGAATCTTCACTCAACACTATAAAAGTTAAAAAATAATGAAAAAGTCATAGCATATAATTACACAAACATACATTAAACTACTGACAAGTGAGAGAGACACCATCGAGAAGTTGATCCGTTAGAATAAAGCGAAATTAAAATACGAACTCAATATTATCGTACGTTTTATTGAACACATCGCGTACGCTCGTAGACAGGGACCAAAAATATTCTATCACTGGCGGTGGAAAAAACGAACTTAATAAAAGGAAGTTGTTAGCAATACTCTTAGAGGAATTATAAATTTATATACACTTACTGTATGGTCACACTTCTTCGTTACACGGAACCAGCCCGGTAATTTCCCTTACAAATGGTTGATCCACTGCAATTTAGTAGGCTATGATTTTCATTTATTAGGAATCAAGTCGATATGGCCCACTTCGCAACATTTCAGCTCCCTCTTGTGTTAAATTCTTAGTGTCTAAAGTTTGATCTCAATAAGCGCCGAACTCAAACTTAAGTTTGGTCGGAAGTTGTCCCCACCACTCACGCCACGCGGATTTCCGCGGTATGCTGTAGCTCATCAGTACTGATGAATGAATGCGTGAATGTGTCAGAAATGATATACTATCTTCGTTGCGTGACTGCTCATTTCTACGGCTAGGTACGTAGGACTGCTCTTCTGAACCCAGGAGTCTGTTCTACCGTTACGATCACGACTCTTTAGTTGTCCGCAAATAATATAGGGAAATGTTGACTTCGCCTATTTTGAACAATAATTTTTGTAAGCAATTCCGAACATGACTTCTTACTAGAAAAAGTCTGAACATGACAGCTCACTAGAGCAATTCTGAACATTACTTCTCACTATATAAATTCCGAACATGACTTCTTACTAGAAAAAGTCTGAACATGACAGCTCACGAAAGGTATTCTGAACATGACAGCTCACTAGAGCAATTCTGAACATTACTTCTCACTATATAAATTCTGAACATGATTTCTTGCTAGAGCAATTCTGAACAAGTAAGCTATTTTAGACATGGCAGCCACGTAACCTATTCCGAACATGACAACTTTGAACCTGCAAACCAGTCAGGATATCTCAGACGCCCCAGAGGCAGCTCTGAAAATGTAGCAGGCAGTGAATGGATGAATTCATGAATAATGCATATAGCGGACCTGTGAGCCAGCATGGGTCGCATGTTGTCAGGTTCGAGAAATGGTGATCAATTGTGGAGTAGAAGATGATAATGAAAAACCAAGAATAGTGAACGAAGTGTCAACAGCTGAGAAGAATAAGACACTGAGATACAACAATAAAGTTAAATTCATCGAAAAATTCAGCGGGGGACAAAGCCGAATGAACTTACTAGCACTCCATCGAACATATTTCTGTACACAAGTAAATTTAGAATAATTTGCCTCCGATATTTTCCAAATAATTAACACCAGCTGATGACTGATGAGTCAAGCGTCGTTGTGTGGAGAGCAAGGCAATGCCAAAATGGTAAAGAAATACCAAGTAGACTCCTGCGTTTGGTACCATTTTCAATACGGGACGAGACGATGAGAAGCTTTATCCCGATTAGCGATAAAAATAGGGACGATTTTCACCGTTCTGTGGGAATTCCGTGACGGTATCGTAACGAGACGTCCAGAGAAAAATAAGTCAAGGGGGTTTAAAAAAAGAGGAGTTTTAAAACTTACCGGAATTTAAATCTTGCTTAGCGAGACATTACTAGACGTACTAGTTAATCCTCAATATAAAGTTTGAATAATAATGTGTTCCAGACGTTATCTGAAACACATTTGATCCGTTTACAACTTTAAGGTATTTTACTATGAGTAGGTAAAACGGTAGAATATATAGCCTATCTCGCAAATGTGAGCTAATTTGAAATGCTAGAGACAGCCCGTCCTAACGCTCCTAAACGACTGACTCATAAGGTTGACGTATGACTAATTACACGGGGACTGTTGTGGCCGCCAGTTTGGTCAGTTCTCACCGCCACCATGCAATTTTCGGGCTAGTGGCCTCGTGTACAGAGGTACTGCCAGCTCCACGGGTTAATAGCGAGTAGCGGCCAGTAGATAACTTAAAAAAATACGGAACGGACATCTGCCTGTGAAATAGTTGCGCTACTTTTAATCAATATTTGGCGAATAAATATCGAGCTGTCAAACGAAAAAGTTCAGAGAGCAGAAAGAGGTGCGTTAATTTCCTACTTGACAAAGACTAATTACTCACATCTGCGGTAGGCTACCGCTGTTGTTGCTTTCATCAATGCTTTCAGCTTTGCAGGGATGTAAACATGGGCTTTAGTTTACAGAGATAATAATGTAAGACGTATTAAACTAAAATTTTATTTGGCTCTTGGCTATCAAATTCAATGAAGCCAACATCAGAGTCTCTGTTTTGGCCGGGTTGATGTTTCTTCAGCCTTTGAACTCAACACAGTTGCACGAAGTAGGTGTCAACTTATGCGCAACAGTTGCCATCGTTGACCTTGTAAATTTTGTCGCAAAGTTTGCTCTAAATATTGTCCTGGTCTACGCTTTGGTGAATTCTGGCCTGTTATTTGCTCTTAAAAAATTCCTAATTACCACTTTCACTAGGACCTTTGACACAGCTTCATAATGCGCCTCAACTTGTACCGAACTCGTCCATGACTCGTACCGTTCTTGTCAGGTGCAATTAAAGGCCAAACTGCAAATTATTCACTCAATATACAGCTATACATCGTTAATTCCGCCCTATAATTCAACTGCATAGTTGGTTTGACAGCCAAGTGTCGCCAAATTTGCCCAAGACTGGCAACTGTCCATTAAAAATCCAGGGCTTACTTGTTTTTTCCTTGATCAGAGCTTTCGGCGTGTCGTCTTGTTTCCTATCCTAATGAAATATTTTCTCGCTTTGTCTGGAATATTCAAGACATGCCTCGTCTCGTTGCGTTACGTCTCGTTTTACATCTGTTCAATATCGTTTTATAATAACCGGGATACAAGTTTTAAATTCGGGAAACTGGTGTTGCCTCGCTTCATACATTTATAACGGGACAATTTTTTCCTTCTGTCCCGTTATTTTTTTCGGGGAATTTCTTGTTTCGTCCAGTTGTCCCGGTTCATTTAGAGAAAATATTGTTATCAATTTTACAGGATTCAGTTGCGCAATCTTCTGCCGAGCTCAGAGGTAGCTCGATAATTGCTTACAATTTCTCGATGAGGCACAGGCTACCCAGAAACAACAGGCGAGTCTCAGCCTGCCAAAGAACAACAGGCGAGTCTCAGGCTGCCCAGAGAACAATAGTTGAGTCTCAAGCTTCACAGAGAATAACAAGCAAGTCTCAAGCGGGCCAGAGTAGAGCAGGCGAGTCTCAGGCTTTGCAGAGAATAAGAGGCGAGTCTAAGGCTGCCCGGAAAACAACAGGCGAGTCTCATGCTGTTCAGAGAACAGGCGAGTCGCCAGCATCAATCCGCCTAGGAGCTCGTCGAATCCAAAGATTGCACTTGAACGTTGAATAGATTCACGGTGAGCTTAAATTGCCATTCAATAATATGAAAATGGAAACGGGCTACAAGTTGTCTAGGTTTTGATAGCGAATTAAAAATGTTTAATTAAATGAAACTTGTAGCGAAATTTCATCACACATTAGCTAAGTTGGGGCAGCCTATGAGCACGTAAATCAGACGCTCTATATCCGCACCGGCTCTGCATGGGTTTAGAGGGCAGCCTAGCTCTGGGCAGCTTGCAAGCCCGGCATTCCTGGGCTCGGCCAACCTTTCTTACACTTTCAGTTGATAGTGAAGTCAGAGAGTAGATTCTGATCAGAAGCTGATTTTGATCAGATGGCCAAGCAGACCCAGAATACTTCAAGCCGAGTGTAGCGATTCTCTGCTAAGCTGTACTTGAATTTTGTTAGGGCAGTGACCACAAACGATATTCTAGAGTTTTTCGTAACATATAATAACCTGTGACGATTCTCAAAAGTCGATGATCAGTGACTCAAAATGACCTTAAAACCCCCACTGAAGTCAACTATAGCCTGGAGGAGAGTATGGTGGTCATGAGCTTGAGAACTAACCTGTGTTGATAGCTTGCGCCCGCAAGGTCATGACGGCACCCATGTCGTGGTCTTCCGGCAGGGTCAATGAGTACAGGGAGCGCTCGAAGCGAACCTCCTCCTCTCCCATCAACTGCGACACTGAAACAAAACAGGAAATCTTGTTAGCATATATCGTCATAACATTAGGCAACACATCGTTAGATATTTACACAGAAAAATATGGGATAACGAAGCATTATTGTAAATTTGTTCAAATAAAATCACCTGAACGCTGCTCGTTGAAAACGGTCCACGGAACTAGAGAAATTATAACATTCATTCATACGATGTAAGCAATGCACACAGAGATGAAATAATTAATGTTTCTTGGTTTCGTGTTAATGTATTCGTTTCAATTATAACTGATATATTCGTTTTAATCATAAAAAGTGTAGGGGGATTTGTTATGAAATTGAGATAGATTATCTCCGCCAAACAAAATTTTACATTGATTATTAATATTATGATCAAGGAAAATTCCCGAGCTTTTTTTAATTCAATGTAATTGTCTGTGTTATGCTCACCTACAAAAGAGCGCTAAGGATGTAGTAGAGTAACACGCGCTGAATAATACAGTACACGCGGCGGTTCAGAGATGAGGGGAGGGTGGTTCAGAGATGAGGGGACGGTGGTTCAGAGAAGAGAGGAGGGTGGTTCAGAGAAGAGGGGAGGAGGGGTGATTCAAAGACTATTAAGACTCCATATCGCCCATAATATTCTCATACATCGCAGTGCTGCATCCGTTTCATATAAAAGGCTTACTCATATTCTTGATCTAATTCTACCCTATTGTCTTTAAATAATTGCCATTCCTGGCTGCAAGGCAAATCACATGAAGGTTCCTGCATTATCCGAGCAGAGACTACATCTCTTGTCACTAGGATGGCTGGATGCGGGACCAGCTTTGCAGTAGCGGCGCTACAACAACACGCAGGGCAAGGCAAGTTGATGGAAAAGCCGTGTCGCCTACCGCAAACGCCCGCCTAAAGGAACAAATTGAATAGAACAACAGCCCAATTTGATACCACGATTAACGAGCCCACGATAAGAACGTCGCAAAATTAAGCTATTCATGGTTGAAAAAATTGAGTATACGTTCGTTCACGAACAATCACTGCCCAAGTTATTTTTTCATATCGTGAGGAAGCAGCGAAATCTTGAGGTAGTAAATAAATAACATCCAACTAATATTCAAGCAATAGCATAGCTACAAATAATACCATTAAAATAAAATATATACACTACATTTCTATAAACTCAACTGCTGAAAAGTAAAAATTCACACGCAAGTGTAAGGTTTCAATTTAGGTAAAACGTTCCAATTTAGATAAAAGGTAAAACTGATACTAGCACCACCGTGTCAGCACCCCTTATTAGCGTCACTATGATGGCGCCCGTAACTAGGGTCACTATGTAGGTGCCTGTAACTAGCATCACTATGTAGGCGCCTGTAACTAGCATCAATATGTAGGTGCCCGTAACTAGCGTCACTATGTAGGCGCCCGTAACTAGCGACACTATGTAGGCGCCCGTAACTAGCGTCACTATGTAGGCGCCCGTAACTAGCGTCACTATGTAGGCGTCTGTAACTAGCGTCACTATGTAGGTGCCCGTAACTAGCGTCACTATGTAGGCGCCCGTAACTAGCGTCACTATGTAGGCGTCTGTAACTAGCGTCACTATGTAGGCGTCTGTAACTAGCGTCACTATATGTAGGTGCCCGTAACTAGCTTCACTGTGTAGGCGCCCATAACTAGTGCCACTATGTAGGTGCCTGTAACTAGCGTCACTATGTAGGCGCCCGTAACTAGTGCCATATACGGCCGAGGACTCGTGTACTGAAGGCCTGGTTGTTTGGCTGGCAAACTCTGCCGAGGCTTCTTGACGTCTTCAAAGCTCGCGCCGTCAGGGGAGACTGATTAATTAATATCTCGAGTCTTGCTGTGATCTGCGCGCTTAACTGCTAAGTACATAATTAGTGTTAAATGAGGCAGTTCTAACCTGTGGTTAATGTATTTAGGAATTCAAAGCCGGATCTTCAAAAGATGAATTGAGCGGATATTATTCATTAATATGCCGGTCAGGATTTAAATAAAGCATTCTTAAAATTGACCAAAACGCGATGAAATTGATCGTAGTGAGTTGCCAACAATTAAATACAGTTTATGCGCGATTACAACGCGATTCAAGGTTTTAATATTACCACGATTCTGTTAAAAAAAATTTATTATATTTAGTTTTATTTTCCAATATAATAACTTTCATTTCTCACTGCTCTGTGATTGCAAGTGTTACAGTCAACGCCCAGCCGATGTTATTATCTTATTTTATCATTTATTACAACACTTCTCTTTAACTTCACTTCTTGTTGTTTGTTTGTTTGTCTACCACAAATCTTATATCGATATTTAACACACTTCTACCTGTCTAATCGATCTGAAATTTTGCACACTTGCGTAAAGTTGGAGACAATGAATGAATCAATTGACACAATAAATAATTTTGAAAATTAAACAAATTTTTTTTTTCAATATTAAAAAAATGACAAAATAATTTTGTCAGCTACAAATCTTATAACTGATATTTGACACACTTCTACCTGTCCAATTGATCTGAAATTTTGCACACTTGGGTGAAGTCGGAGGCAATACATGAATCAATTGACAGAATAAATAATTTTGAAAAAATTATATATTCGAAATAAAATTAGAAATTATTTGTACATCTATATTCTATAACATTGGAAACACTGGATTCTTTAGAAGTGTTGTCTTTAAAAAGTAATTTTTAAACGTATATTATTTTTATATACAAGATATTTATATACATTAATTTAAGATATTTACCTTATTTTTCTTCCATTATTTACTCGACCAACATGATTTACTCGTTGACCTCTTAATACTTGCTGTGACATAGGATCTTCTCATTAAATATCCTAAAGATCAAATTCAGTTTGAACCATTTTCGAGTTTATCTCCATTATTATATCATTAAATAATTCAAGGCGCATTTGCATGTGCCTTTCACTGAATATAAATAATAAGTACCATTTCTGGTTCAAATAAATCCTGCTTGCCGCATTAATCTGATGGATATCTTGACTTTCAAGGTCATATTTTCTAAGGAAATCACAGTCTGAAGTTTTCTAGGAAATATTCTCAAAGAGGTTAAAAGAAAAATTAAGAGAACTTATTAAATTTAAAGGAAGAGTTACAAAAATTAAGAGTCTAAGTTTTTACAATGATGGCATTTCTTCGCCAGCTGGTCGAGAAATGTTTAATGGAATTAATAAGGATTTTAAAAGACTGCAAGAAAATAAGTGCTAATTTTACTATCAAATCGGGACACTCTAAATACTAGTTTAGTGAAACCAGATGAAACCCAATGCGGAAAAATTTTCTCACGGCTGAATGACAGCGAAATAAATTTGTGCAAAAACTTGCTAGATTTTCAACTTGTAATCCAAGAAAATTTAGAGCAATTTTGCGAAAAAAGTATGATCAGCAACCCCGAAATGTTCACTCACTAATTTGAGACTCGTTTGTTCACCTCTCATTCATATTACACGCGAGGAATACCCACACTCATTACTCTTCTGATACTCACTGATCCATGTGCTGTTGGTGATGAGGCGTAGTATAGTGGCTGGATCCATGATATTGATGAGTAAGCTTCAGATCAAGTTTTCAACTGAATATTCACCAGGTGCTACGCGGAGACTCACTTCGACTACATTCATATGGGCAGTTTATATGCAACCATTGAAACTATTCCTAAACTTTCTTCTGCGGGCATAATTTCAATGAAATATTGATATAATTTTTTTTCTAAGTGCATAATTATAATGCATCTGTAATTTTTAATACATTTAAAATGTTTAAGCACATCAGACTTTCGTAGTTAGCACCAGTACCAACTGTGAAGTTAATTCTTCACAGCAGCTTGTTACATGCAGTCGATAATTTATTTAGCATTAAGACACAACTTGGTTCTTAACTTGCTATCCGTTCACACAAGAAAATATTGACTCAAATTTATTACTATATTAACCGTATTATAAATTTATTACACGCACCGTATCTGAGATAAACCTTTATGAAGTACACACTTATTGGTTCAAGCAATTCCTTCACAATTAGGATGCAGTATTATATAGGTTAGTGTTGAAACACACACATGATTTGAATATAAATTATACGATAAATTCTGTCATCTTCTGCGTGTTTATATAGAACATGGAATTCATGACCTATTACGCGAGAAGAAAAGAAACATTTCACTAGAACATGACTTCTTATTAATTCCCAAGTCCACTGAAGCGATGGATGGCACGGTGTGGTATGTTGAAAGTCAACATGGAGATGTTGTCATTCAGGCGGTCTTGCATAATCAGCCCCCTGTTGCCATAACCTCTTCGCAGATCAGAACCAGGGGTCAAGTATTATATATTCCACTTTCATCACAAATTACGGGGACCAATAACTCATTGAAATTAGCTTTTGTTCGAGTCTCCTCGATGCACAAGACAATTGGCTTGCTGGAACTCTTATTTGTTGACCGCCAACGTGAAACAGGGATGGTATACGTCCCAATAATACTGGTCAGTATCATACATACGATATATTTATCAGGTAAGGTAATTGACATATTCACAAAGCATATGCAATTTAACGTGATAAATCATTTGCTGTTAGGAGTCACAATAAAAGAGATGATATCCGAGGTTAGGTGCAGTAAGTACTATTGATTTCTATAATAATAGTAAATCATAAATGACATAAGGACACAAAATTAGAGAATATGATACTGATAATTTCACAGGAGAACGCAGCACGGCAAATGTTGGTACATCATGATAAAAAATGTACACATGTTGGAATTTATCAAGCACTAATACATTATGCACAGCATTAGGCTATCATTCCCACCCAAGTTCGTGTGGAACCGTTCAAGAATAGAATGTTCAGCATATTCAGGTAAGATTATAGAGAAAACAAAGGAGATTTAATCAACGCTCACCAAAATTCCAATACCAGTGAACAACTTTTCAAACATAAGGCATGAATTCGAGGCTTATTATAAGCATCGGTTATTTA